TATAATGTTTGGATTTATAAAAATAGGAAGCAGCTCATAGATTACTAGTTTAATTTTCTTCTCCTTTGAAATCCATCCACTTAAAAAAAAATACCGCAGATTCCACTGGGTAGTCTAATCTTTCTTTCACATTTTAATGAGCTAGCGAATAAATGTCTATTTCCTACCATTGACTAGCTCCTCCTCTTTAACCTTTATGTTCAGTAAAAGTGACAGATTCTGTATAGGGAGTTTGTTCCCTTTCTACTTTAAAAACCTGTCATTAATGCCAGACCAATAAAACTGTTGCATGCACCAGCTGATATCAAGCTTAAACAAATAAAGGAATGCAGCTGTACCTATGTGGTGATGGCTGAGTAAATAAAGACATGTGCATATAGTGTTTTTATTTTATTTCCTGGTCTTTTACATGTGTGACTTTTTTTACTCCACTATAAAATGTAATGAAGAAACTTAGGACTAAGAGGGGGGAAATGTATGACTTCTTTGTGCATTTCTTGTTTGATGAAAAACCAGCATTCTCTACAAACTGTTGACAGAATATGAATATGGCTAAATGCAAACTGAGCCTTGGTTGGTTGGTACATTAATACAGTTTATAAGGCTTCTGATTTAAAAAAAGATGAGTTGGAGTCACTTTTAGAAGTGCATCAGTTTAGATAACATATGTAGCCTTTTGCTATCTAGTCTGAATTGAAGAATTGCTAGTTAACTCTAGGTAAGTTTTGGACGGTTGACAAGTAGAACATAGCTTTGGCAATTGCAGCCTTGATTATTATTTGGTTCTGGACTCTAAAGTTCCTTGTGTTTTGTGTAGGATATCATTTTTTTTAAACTCATTTAAACTCATTGGTAATTCTTTATTTTAAGAAATGTATTTAATAGTCAAACATGACTATTTAAAAAGAATACAACATTTTGAGGTTCCGTGTTTATCACCGCTCACTGACCTCCAGATTACAGTTGTTGAGATTACAAGTAAGGAGAATTTTCCAGTGGCCGGCACCACAAATTTAACTTGATCTTCGAAAAAATCAGTCCACATTCTTTCTCCTTTGTGCATCATCGCCAGTTATAATGTCTTTGCAGTTGAAACTTAGCTGCCAGTTTGGTTGACAAGCAGCAAGTATATCTGATTTTGATTACATCCACTTTGATCTTCTGTAGCTGTAGTCTCTCTGTAGTGCAAATAACAACAATAACTTTTTTGTCATGAAAGCAAACTGAGAATAAAAGACACACACACACACACACACACACACACACACACAGCAGGCATGTTGAGTAATAAGATGCTGGTTTTACACAATAACATATTTAACCATAACCTCACTTTTAGATTAAAATGCTAATGGCTCCAAAGCACAGTGTAAAAATGTGAAGATGTGGAGAACATTGCTAAGTGAAAGAAGAGTCCAAATGCTGGCAAAGTAACCTTGCAAACTTCTACTCACACCAGGCCCTTACGTTAAAGATATTTGGCTTGCTAACTCTCTATTTGGTGCCCTCTAAGCGTGCCTTTGAAAGCATGCCTTGCATCCACCCAAATGTGTCACAAGTGTTTTAGCTACCAGTTTGCTTTGAGCAAAGCTAATTATCGTGTGATACTCCACCGTACCATATTCTACCAGTGCCATGCTCATGTGGGTGGAAATTGCTGATGCTGCAGCTATGCAGAGAATAGTTTCCTTGCCACAATGCACTTGTCACTGCTTATGTAACATATCTGATCTGTTTTCTGGACTCCACTGCGGAGAGAAGATTCATACCTGTACAAATAGTGCTGTGCACACTGTGGTGTTCAGTCACTTGCTGTTTTCACAGTCAGATGCCTCTGAATCTGTTGGTGGCATGTCCAAGAGAAGGCCATGTGGTGGCAGCTGTCATGAGACTGACAAGCGGGCAAAGTTGGCAATGTAGAAAGATGAGGGGATACTGGGACAGCTGAATTCATTCATTACAATTTAGGCTATGACTAGGTGCCTGGCAATGGCCACGGTGGGTATTCTAACATCAAAGAAATAAGGGGATTGAAGGTTCTTTGTAAGAAAGCTGTGGCAATAACAACAGTAGGTCCAGTTCAGGACAGAAAATGTGCCCCTTTCATAACACACTGGACTGAATCTTCAATTCCTATTTCCAAAAAGCCAGAGATGTTTCTGGGTAGCACAGAACATGGAGGAGGCCTGAAGTGGCATTTCTTAGGCCTTGTCTTTAAACAGAGGAAAAGACGACTGCTCTCCTCTTGCTGCTAGCTGAGCAAGAGAAGTTTAGAAAAGCAGTCTCATGGCTGAGTTAAGAGAGGAGAGGATGTTCCTACACTACTGGTGAAGATGCCAGAGACCAAGGCCAGCAGTTGACAGGATTGCTGCAGTGGTTCTGCACTCCCCACACCTGGGACAATCAGCTATGTGTGATATTTGAGGATAACTTTCACCAGCTGGAGTACTGCTTAGGGCCTGGACCACAACAACACTGGCAGGACCAAGTTGTTATCGAGACCTGCGATGAGTGGTATTGGCTGCATAATGTAAGATAAAGGAGACTTTTTTTGTGTGCTGAGGTTGGCACGGGAATGCTGGGGCTATCTACCAGAGTGAGAGCGCAGCTCCCTGTGGAAAAGAGTATCAGTTTGCCCAGTGGTAGTTGGCTCCCTGGAATAGTTGCCCATTGATTTGAGCACTAGTTTGGGTTTAGGAAGCCCATGGGGAGTGATGTGGTGGAAGTTTGTATGGCAATATATTGTGTGCTGCAGGAGGATGTGTTCAGGGTGGCCAGTGTGCCAGAGATCATTCAGGGTTTTGAAACAGTTGGGATTCTTGAACTTAGCTGGAGCTGTTGATGGAACCCATGTGTCCATTCTGTATCCCCTCCCATCCCTAGCCCAGTTGTATATTAATAGAAATGGGTGCTCCTCAAAGATGGGTATGTGGGCCTTCACAGGTCAAAATGGCTGGCGGACATGTACATAAGGTAGGCAGGCAAAGGGCATAATGCGAGAGTTTTTGAAAACTGAGGCACTAAGGGACTCTGATCTCACCTGACAACATTGACATTAATGGTGTGTTTATCCCCATTGTGAATCGTTGCATAACCCTTAATGAAACCATTCACAGAGTACATAAATCTGGAGAGATACTGATTCAACTCTATACTCAGCAGATGCAGAATAGTGATGAAATTTCTGGGAGACTGAGTTGACAGTGGAGATGACTCTCCTTGAATGACCATGTTAGCGATTAATGTAGCAGTTAGGATACTTGCCTGTATTATTTTGCAGAACATATATGAAACCAAAGGTCGTGTCTTCTATGCACACAGGAGTGAGGAGGCAGAGGGGCTTGCAGCAACCTATGCATAGCTGGATAGATAAGTTATTGAATCTGAGGCGGTTACTTAGAGCAGCCTACAATAGGAATGCTGACCTAACCAGAAATACTCTGTGCAGGTGCTTTCCAAGGTAATGATGGAGAATTGGGGATGGGGCAGTGAAGTGAATGTCCCAGAGTTTGATTCCTTTTCCTCATAATTCCTTTAAGCTTCCCAAAGGCTCCCAGAAGTCCTTAAGATATCTCCTGTAGACTGCTGAGCCAGGAACTGTGATATAAGACAGTGTAATTATAACAGCAAGTGTGGACACACAACAACACTGTATCTGAAATAGCATGACTGGCATTAGACACACTACATTACTGCTATCCTGGTAGTGCAATTGCAGATGGTTCCCTTATCTAGTGTAGACACTGCTAAGAGGTAGTTTTTTTTTTTTCCACAAGTGAGTACAATATACAATTCATTTTTACATCAATTTCAGCATTATAGTAAGTGTTTCAGTGAGTGTATTTTGTGTTTGGGCTATTTTAAATTTTCATGACAATTTTGCAGTCTTTTAAAACGTGTAAGGGATCTTGAAAATGGTAGGTGAAGATCCTCAAGTGACAAGAGAAGAAATGAGACATTTGTTTTATTTGTAATTTTGGCAGTACATGGGATTGTGATTGGCATAGTGCACAAGCAAGTTTTACATACACCTCTACCCCGATATAACGCTGTCCTCGGGAGCCAAAAAATCTTACCGCGTTAAAGGTGAAACCGCGTTATATCGAATTTGCTTTGATCTGCTGGAGTGTGCAGCCTCGCCCGCCCCAGAGCACTGCTTTACTGCATTATATCCGAATTCGTGTTATATCAGGTCGCGTTATATCGGGGTAGAGGTGTACTTGAGTATAGACAGATGTGCTTTTACTTGTTGGATTGAAATACTCTGGAGCATATGTATGGTGTTAAATATTTGTACTCAAATGATGTAACGAGTACTCCTGAAGGGAAGAGCAGATGCTTCTCTTAAATTACATACAAAGTGGTGCTGTGTAATCTCAGGGGCTGCAGATAACCATTTTGTTCTATCACAAATAACATGAAAATAAAATCACCATAAATGATTTAATCGTGAGGGCCTCTTCCGAAATTATTTGGTAATGACAAGGTTTAGGTTATGTAGTTTTGTGGTGTTTTGCTTAAATACCTTCTTTTGAAGATCATGTGAAAGGTAGAACTGAAAAAAGTTAGAACGGAGATTTGTAGGGAGAAAATAATTGCTGTTATCACCATGGACCAAACTGGAACAACTGAAAAGCCTTACGATGTAACATTCTTCAACGTGTTCTTAAAAATGTGCTCCATGCCAAGAGAGACTCATAATGAGTGTGTTATACAGGTTCAAAACTATGAGTCTTACAGGTATGGCATTTTACATACATCTCCAAGTCCCTGCAGTAGGTAATTAGGAAAAATGTCAGGTTTCTGGGTTAGGCACAAGGCTAGAAACAAAGATGTATTTTAGCGCTGGTATAGAAAGACCTTTTTATTGTTTCTTGAACTCATGTAGCTAAAACACTAGAGAGATTTTATTGCTTAAATTCTTGGGGGGGGGTAGGGGGGAGAAAGGTATTTGATCATTGATGCAACTTTTTCTTAAAGTTTACATGTTCTTTTTATAGAGCCCAGTGAAGATAAATCAGATCAGCCTGGATGAAAGTGGAGAACATATGGGCATATGCTCGGAAGATGGCAAGGTACAACTAAACCACTTACATATTTAAAGAGGCACCAGCAGTGTTTGTATACTAAACTTTGGGTCTGCATGATATCTGTGCAGTAAATACCCGTGTTAGAAGTAATTTGATCTTCCATTTCAGGAATTGGGCTCACCTATGAATACGCATAATTAAAGTCAAATATATTTTGCACAAATGTGCCTTAGGAAAAGTAATTACAAGAATGTCAATAATGTAACCGGTATTAAGCTGATTAACAGCTGTTGCAGGAGGACATGTCACCTTAATCATTACTGCTGTGCCAGTTATACTTCAGTGACTAGTCTGCTGCTCCTGCAAGACAGTAGTTTAATGCCTTTCTGCTATAAATCCACAAAATTGGATTTTGTGGCATGATTTCTGTGGGCTGCTAGTTTTCATTTTCACACGTTATGAATGTTTCTCTTGAATTATAGAATCTTTTGATAAGCAATCATAGTTTATCAGAAGAATAAAGTGTCTTACAATGGCCACATTAAATAAATGCAAAATCAATATATGTACAGTCCTAAAAAACTGGCACCTACTTCCTAGACTGTGGACATATATCATTCGTTCAGTGTATAACTAACAATTATCATTGCTTCCCTGGAATGTTGAGCTGTGACATTTAGTGGTTTTAGTGATTGATTTTCCACTTATAAGAATCTCTTTTTTTGGTGTTTTAAGTCAGTGGCAGTCTCTTCTAATGTTGGTTTGCAGTGATAAAATTCTAATGCATATGGTGTATTTAAACTTCTCGAAAATAATACTGCTAGTAGACACGGTGCATTAAAAATCAGTTCTTAATATCTGTCTCACTTACTGAGTATAACATGGTTTTCCCTAATCTAATTTGGCGGGGCTTGGTGGTCCTAATCCACTGATCCATTAAGGATCAGTAAATTAAAACTAATGTTGGCTCTTGTGATAGGAAAAAGAGGAAACAAACCCATTTAATTTCTATTTACTTTAAAAAAATGAGTTTTGCTTCTCATGCATGGAGCCAGTTTATATATTCAAGCCTAGTGTTTCTCAAAGATATCTTGATGTTAGTATCTTGACCCAGTAATTGGGATACTAGTGCCTATCAAAAAGGGTTGTGAAATTTTACAGCCTGTGAGAAACTCAGCAAAGGTGATGTAATCTAAGCAAGATAATGGAAGGGTCAGTAATTGTTTAAAGGTAATCATATATGTTGCACTAGTATTGTTGGGTTTGAATGTTTTTGAAAAGAAAAAATAATACACCTTTGTAAGGACTCCTGTGATGTGTCTGTGGATTAGAGTTGAAATAAGAATATAACAGACCGCGGCCTCAAATCATACAAATGTGGTTCACTAAATTAATTTCAATAATTATAAATTAAAAATTTTTAGGAATCTGCAGAAATGCACATACTATAGTCCGAATATTCGGTAAATAATTATTTTCTAATGTGCATTGTAAGACATGGCTTTATTTAGAAAATGTTTATTACTTTGGAAAATGAATTATGTTTTAACCAGGAATCTAGGTCAAGCTTTTGTTCCTGTAACTCCAAATGCTCATTCGCAGATACAATTATGCAATACATAAAAGACTGTATAAGCCTCTGTCTCACAATCCAGTTCTGCTTCTGGCACATTTCTAGTTAAGAGTTGAAATATGCGTGCTATATTGAGCACTTTTCTTCTTGAAGACCAGGAACATTATATCTCCCCACATTGAGCATTGAGATGTCCATCTGGAGCCTTCCAAGGTTAGGAAGCTTCAGAAGTCAAACGTTTTTGAGCTTGTCCCCAGAAGAGTTATTGACCTATAAAGGAATCCAAAGAACAATAGGGTGAATAATGCAATGTGCGCAGGAAAAAAATAAATCAAACCATAGACAATCTATGCAACTTGCTTTGCCTCTTTTTCACCATTTTACTTAACACTACTCTTGTCCCTCAGCAGTGGGGCAGTATGAAAAATACAACTACAACTATTATTAATATTTTATTTTTATGACAGTAGCTTTTAGAATCCTCAACCAAAGTTAGGTGCTGTTCATACATGTAGCAGAAAATAGTCCGTCCCCAGAAGGCTTTGCTATCTAAGTTCCTGATCCTACAAAGGCTTAGACACATGCTTAACTTTACACACTACGAGTCGTTTCATTGACTTCAATGGGACGACTATCACTGTGCAAAATTTTACAGTGTTTACAGGATCATAGCTAAGTAGACAAGACAGACAAAGGGGTGTCCGCCTTGTCTTTTACTTAGATAATAAGCTTTTTGAGGCAAGGTGTTTCTTTTTGTTACTTGTTTGTACAATGCTTGTCATAATGGAAGCCTGGTCCATTGCTGGGGCTCCTATGCACTATCCCAATAACAATTAACAATAATTATTATCATTGTTTTCTCTATTTCACATATGGGGAACTGAGGCACAGAGAAAGTGACTTGCCCAAGGACACATAGGAAGTCTGTAGCAGAACTGGAAATTCATCTTAGTTTTCCTGAGTCTTAGTTTCCTCAGTCAGCCAAGCTTCAGCTAGTTTCCCATAGCTCCAACCTTTACAGGAGACCTGGCTAGAAAGTACTTATAGAGCTCCATCTCCTCCCGACTGCTAATTTTGTAGGTACAAAACATATATGCAGATGATAAAGTCAATAAACATATTTACCAAAAAATTTGATTCTGTTGAATCAGCTTCAGCTATAAAAGAAAATGCAACAAAGAACAATCTCTATGGATTTTGAACCAGCTACAGAATCTCTCTAGATTTTGAACCAGCTACAGTGCCTCAAGTATTCTTTATTAATTAATGAACAGGTATAGACTTATAGGCAGTCCCTGGTAAAGATTTTGCATAAGGTGAAGAATGTATTTTCCCCAGACATGAGTCAATCTGCATAGAGTAGAGGAGTATGATTCATTTTCTGAGGGAAGACTGAGATGAGCTGCTCTGTCGCTTCTGTATTCCTCTAAATTATATACTTTATTTTTCTTCACCATTTTTCCTTCTTTACTTCTCCCACCCTCAACCTGGCATTGGGCCAGCCTTTGTGACTGAGGAAGGGCACTGGCCCTGAGTTAGTCATAGAAGTCAGAGGAGAGCAATGAAATATTTCCAGGCCCACCTGACCTGGTATCAGTGAGCATTCTAGAGCTAGAGTCTCAGACTTGAAACCCAGACATAAATCAACTGAACAACTACATCTGGAAGCACTGGATTGTCAATCCAGTCCTTCCAGATGTAGTTGTTCAGTATTGTCAATCCAGTCCTTTTTACCCATTTAAGTATAAGGGACCATGTATTGGGATACTTAAGGCCCAGAAAGTGAGTCTAAAATCAGATATAGAGATACTGTGTGTCTATAAAATCCGATACAGAGGCTTTGTGAAACATAATGGTCTCCCATTGTGGGATGCCTTTTAGACTACCTAAAAATGTGATAAACTGAGTGGAGACAGAAGGTAGAACTGGATAAATCCAATATAGCTTTGTAATTTGAAAAGAATCACTTTCTCTTTGTAGAATAAAAGACATTAAGGAGTAATAAACTGATCTGTAGGATCCCCTGAGTAAACATAATATACGTTTTATAATGTGGGGTTATTTTCCCTTTCGTTGACTGGATCCATTTTACTTCCAAATTCTGAAAAAATATAAATGTTGAAAACATGTATCACTGTGTGCATGGGCACACAGTGCTACATATTTATTGGAGCTGTTATAATTCTAGCAGCTACTGCTGATGTTAATTTTGGTTATTCGGTTTTAATTAATTTAAGAAGCGTGGTGTGTGGTTCTTTTTTAAAGAAATATACAGGCTGATTTGTCAGATGGGTAAGAGATTCTTATGTTTTAACCTCTTATTTTTCCTCCCTTCTCCTTGGTCTCCTTCCCTTCCTCTGCCTGCATCTGATTATTTTGTTTATTCTGTTGAATCTGAGGTGCTATGCCAATTGACCAAAAATACCCTCCCCACCCCCAAAATAACCTCCATCCCCAAAGATTATTGTAGGTGTAGAGTCAATCTCAATTTGAATATCACCCATTCGTCTCTACCAGTGGCCCCCAAACTGTCGGGCACATTCCCTAGGGGGCATGGAGGAATGTTCGGAGGGGGAGGGTTGTTGCGCAGCAGGGCCCAGGCCAGCCCCCACAGGGGGTGGGAGGGAGTGCCACCCATTCTGCTCTGCGCCCAGCCACAACCCCGCTCTGCCCCCATCCCAGCTCTGGCCCTAGCCTCAGCTCCACTCTGCCCTCTGCTCCGCCCCCAGGCCAGCTCTGCCATCATTCCCTCTCCATCCCCAGCTCTGCCTTCAGCCCAAGCTCCTCTGCTGAGGAAGCCTTGGCTATACAGTAATGGATTGAGGGCGTGGACACTGGTGAGGGGGAGCGTAACAGGAAAAGTTTGGGCACCACTGGTCTGTACAGTTCACTGGCTGACTTCCATCATCGCAGACTTATGGTGCTTCTCTCTGTCTCCAAATAACATCCAAGCCTCCGGAGCAGTATCTTGGCCCCAGTTAGTATGTAAAACACTCTTTAAGGCTATGTTTGCACTACAAGCGAGGGGTGTGATTCCCCTGCTCGTGTACATATGCTTACGCTAGCTCTCATTGAGCTAGTGCAAGTATAAATAGCAGCATAGCCGCAGTAGCCCAGGTAGCAGAGCACAGGCACGACTGAGCTGTGTCAAGTACAACCTCCCCTGAAATCGGTGGGTAGGTACTCTGCATGGCTCAGCCATGCCTCTGCTGCTGCTGACTGTGCTATCGTAGCTGTGCTGTTTATTTATATTCATGCTGTCTTGATGAGAGCTAGCTCAAGTGTGTGTACAGGAGCGGGGGAATCACAACTCTAGCTCTTAGTGTTGTCTCGTAGCATGAGTAGATATTCCTGGAGACATACGGAACTAAAGTTCCTTTGGCTCGTCACTGGTGGCTGTCCAGCTTTATTCTAAAGATCCTGTTACTTTTTTCTGAAAGATTCCTAAGGGGCAACTACAGTCATAAAAGACAGAAATGAAAAAGCCAGTGAGATAATTGAGTCCATTTCCTTGAACATGCAGAATAAAATCTGTTGATAGGGTTGTGTGTCTTGGAAAACTAGGGTCTGATGTCCAAGTCTGTATGTACACTGTTGCTGCTTATTTGCCTACACAGTGATTGTTAAATATTACTGTTGTTTGCTCCTTGTTTACAAGATAACCACACCCTGAGCTAAATAAACTTGGACTAAGTTAATTAGCCCAAACAGTGTATAAGAAAATGCCATGGTCCAGAAGAGCATCTCTTGAACAGACTGGTAAATATATTTTTACTGGAGGGCTCAAAGACTCATTCTGTTGTTGGCATATGTGTCCTGAGCATCTCCTTTATCCCTCCACTTGAAATGTATGGGGGTCTCAAGTGTGTCTGATGCTTGCTAGAAGCAGGGAGGAGAGTCTGTTACAGCTTCTGGCCCCCAAATCTACAGAGTCGAAATAAGTATCCCCAAGTACATGTGCACCCTTTTCCTCTTTCTCTAGCCAGGCCGGGGTAGTACCTCTTACAAGGACTTAAGATAATGTTTTCATTTTCCATTCATACCATTTTATGTTGTCTTTATCCACATTTCTCCAGGAATATTTTTCACCTTTCATTCACATGATCATTGACACCATTATTTAGATAGAACAAAACAGAAAGATAGAAGATTTATCTTCATTGCAAAAATAATTTCTGTTGCATTCATGGCTTCGATTATTCTCATCTATTCTTTAAAGAAAAGAAAACATTTTTCTGTTCTTAAAACCTATTAAACATCTTTACTGTCATTAATATAGTTTTGTTTGCTGTAGCTGTATGTAGTGTGCTTGGCTCTGATTGAAGGAGAAAATTATTGTATATAGTTGCAACTGCAGAGGTGACTACCAACAGATTTACCAACAGTTACCTCAACTCACTAGAAGAGGAGAGGGACCTTTTCACAGAAGGAATACCTAAGTGTAAGGAGAAAAAACATAGCACTGCTGGATGCTTTTAGGAAAGGCCATTAAAATTGTGGTGTTTAGGGCATGTCTACACTACACAATTAAGTTGACTTAAGTTTGGTTGACCTACAGCCACCACAGTAATTAAATCGGCTGTTCGTGTTCACACTACCCTCCTCCTGCTGGTGGTGCGTGTCCTCACCAGGAGCACTTCCACCAACTTAAGTGGGGCATTTTGGGGGCTGACAGCCCAAGCTCTCAACTGGAGCCCTGCCACCCAGGACTGACCACTGGAGCTGTCGCCCAGGATGACCGCCAGAGCCGGGCTGTCCAGGATGGCAGAGCTGACAGCTCGGGCTGTTAAAGGCCACAGCAGTCAATGTAAGCAATGCAGTGTCTAAACAGGCACTGTGTTGACCTAACTACATCGACCTAAGTGCTATGCCTCTTGCAGATGTGGAGTTATTAGGTTGGTGTAGTGTGCAGCAACATTGTAGTGTATATGCTTACAGAGTTAGGTTGACGTAAGTTGCCTTATGTCAACCTAACTCTATCGTGTACACTAGGCCTTAGATTTCATGCTAGTTTTGCTTTATAGTCCAGAGGAGATTTTTGGAGACTTGAAGGATTCTAAGAAGCATCTCTGAAGCTGAACTGTATTAACCTTAAAAAAAAAAAAAAAAAAAAAGGCACTTAGCTTTTCAGAAAAAAAAAGCTTTTAATATATGTTCCATTGAGTTTTATTAAGAATATGTGAATGCTTTTCATATCTATTAAATTAGTATCTGTTTTAACAGAAGTGATCAGCCTAAAGCAAAAAGAACTCTTATTTTTTGTGGTGCTTGTAAAACCTAATTGCAAAGAAGCACTCTGGTACTGTTTAGTTTCATAGGAGACCTTAATGGAATCCAAGGAAGTTTCAGATAATTCTGAATTGTTAAGTGTACTGCATTGTTTTAATCATGTTAGGCCATTAGCGTTTTCATTCACCTCTCAGTGTTTGTCAGAGTGATTATTATGTGATTTGATTTTAACTGTCTCTTTAGGTGCAGGTATTTGGATTATATTCAGGAGAAGAATTTCATGAAACATTTGACTGTCCTATTAAAGTAAGTACTTATTTAATCCTTAACAAGTACATTATTGGTGCTTTCAATAAAATAAGGGTCACACTGATTCTGTTGCTTAAAAAATACTAGTTCTTTGCCTTAATGTTATTTAAATCGCTAGAAAATAGTCATCTGTCCCAGTCCAAAAGCTTTTGAGCTGGTTAGGTTGGGGAAAAGCTGATCTTGATTTTGTACAGTCTAGAGTATTATTGACTTTTTTAAAATACAAAAAGCAAAGCATGAGGGGGAAATTGTCAGGTTTCAGTTGTTTCCTGTCTTAACCTATTCCTCTCTGTGTAGATCTGCGATTATAAATTTTGATGGTTCTGATAAGTGCTAGGTCAATATTTTTGAATTGATTAGGATCTTAAATCTATCCTGGGATCAAGTGGTGGGTGATGGTGTCCCAATGATGATGCCCTCTGTAGTAAGGGAAAACCTCAGTTATGCTCCTCGTATCATAGACAAATTGGCTGTCAGAGAACAGCAAGAGTAGGGTTGCGTGAAGAACCAAGTGGCTTTTTCTTGGCGGGAAAGAGGGCAGTTCTTTTGGTGTAAGTTTTTGTTTTATGGAAGAGAACCGTGATAACATTTTTCCAGCAATACTGAGTTTTGGCCACTTGGGAGCTTCCATGACATCTTAATGCAAATCCATTTTTCATCTCTCTACCTAGTAAAAGAGGTACAGCTGTAACAGTCCATAATGGGCGAAGGTTGCATAGTGTGACAGTTGATAGAGCATCAATGTTGCAATTTAACAGATAAACAAATACTTCAACAATTATACTTTTTCTCCCGCTTTAAACACAGATTGTTGCTGTCCACCCTCAGTTTGTAAGATCCCACTGCAAACAGTTTGTAACGGGAGGAAAAAAGGTAAGCTATCTCAATATTATAGATGACTTTACATCTTCTCTTCCCTTCCTCTTACATTTATGGATTCCTCTGTTAAAATAAATATATATAAATATATTAAAAAAATTACTAAATGTATCGATTTGAAAACCTAGAAGAGAGAAGCAATTTTTTCCTTCTCTTTAGCCATTCTTTCAGAAAAACAAAACAAAAATACATAAGGTTAAGCCTTGGAGGGAAAAATTAGCACTTCTTTTTTAAATATGAAGGACACTTTAATGATTTAAAAACCAGGACTAAGACAAATAATAATAAAAAAAGTTTTATGTTCTGACAAAATGTTGATGAGAATAATTGGACTTCATGGGCCAATTTCTCTTCATACCTCCAACCCTTTGACATGAAAACAGAATTTGGCTCATAGTGTTATCTTCTGTGGTATATATTATTTTCTGGCTCTGTTCCTTTCCTGTATGAATAAAAACAACGTATGCCAAACTGGGTCATAGTACATTTGTCCTTTAAGTCAGTCTTGGGTTTTCATTTTTGTGCTTTAATGGAGTACGTAATCACTTGTGAGAGAGAATTTAGGCCCCTTAGTTTTAAACTTCTTTGTGTGTCAAGGATGGACTTTTTTGTCTCTTTTGTACCCCTTGGTTCCAGGCAATTTGGTCTTTCTAAAGTTAATACTAAGATGTTTCATTCCTCACCGACCAAATCATTGTCCATAAATTCCAGAATTGACCCTATATCATTCAGTGTACAGGAAAAAAATATTAAAACAGTGCAACATGATGATTAGTTACGTTCATGTAGCCATTTATTGTGACCCTTTCTTTTGAATTAAAAATGAACATTTACAGTTTTAGATTCATCAAACTGTATCTGCCTTGCCAGATGACACAGCAGTTTTAGTGCCGCTAATAACCTCTTTTCCATCAGCAGTACAATTTATTACTATTACTCATTATTTAAAATAAATAAAATAGCTATGATGTGAATGGTTAAGCCAGCTTTAAGATTAGTGGTTCCCAAACAGCACCCTCTAACCTAGCACTGCAACCCGAATCCCACCTTGGTGCAGAGCGGAGGCAGGGTGTGTGGAGGGCTTGGAGAATGAGCGCCCTCCACACTTAGCGTGCAACGGCAGCTCCTGTTCCACAGGGCTGGGCCTGGTTCCCCACTCAGGGCATTGCAACTTGGCGCAAGGGGTCATAACGTCACTGCAGGTTTGGCCTGGCTGCCCCTTCAGGCCAAGTTCAAGTGAATGGCGCTGCAGCCCACAGTGGGGAGCCAGGCCCAGCCCAGCGTGGTGTGTGTGAGGTGGGGTTGGTCTCCAACCTTCTCTTCCCCCTGCCTCCCCTCCCCCAGGCCTCCCCTCCACACTGGGCCCACAAACCATCTAGAACCTTCATGTGACCCACTGGTGGGTCACAACCCACCATTTAGGGTCCACTGCTTTAGATAATGCACATCAATGGACGTCTCTCCCAACAACCAAGTTGTCAAGCGATTGAGTGGTGGTAATGCTGATCTGAAGAGAGAAACTGGGAATTCATAGAATGAGGAAGCTCTGTCAGGTGGTAAAATAACTTGGATTCACCTGATGCTGAACGGAAAAAACCATCAGGGATTTAACACATCTCTTTGGTTATCTTTGATTACTTGACAGGCTGTTTTATATTCTGCCCTCTGGGAGATGGTATACTGATTCCTAATGCATGCCCACTTCTCCCCTCTTCCTATTCATTTTTTGCTGAGAAAAAACTTTCCTCTTCAGGAAAACTTTAACTGACGTTTTAGCATACGATATTTAACATTATAATAAAAAAAAGCCCTAGAAATTTGTAATTTTCGCCTATTAATGTATGTATGTATTTTTTAAAATCCTGTAATTAAATTTAAGATTTTTGCCCAACACAAAAAATGCAGTCACGCTGTGCACTTAGTCTTTGCAAAATCATACCCAGCTCTGTAATGAGCTCTGAACAGACAGGCCCTACACAATTGGATCTTAATCTGTTGCACGTTCGGGTTAAAGCAGAGATGGCATGCAATACCAACACTATTAGGGTAGTCCCATTAGTTTTGGCAGAACCTTTCGTTTACCCCCAACCCCCAAATGTAGCCTTTCAGATATGAAGAAAACTATTTCAGTATGACCAACTGCCATGTTACCTGTTGAGTAGCATATAGAAATAATAGTTTTGAAAATCATGAAATGCCCCCATCCATCCCTGCAGAATTTTAACTCTGGTACCTAATAATAGTTTATATGCTAACATCTTTAAGTCTTTCACTACTGATCATTTGAGCAGAGATCCAGCTGTTGAAGAAAGACTTTGCATGGAGTACTCCCACTTTTTTTCATTCTCTTCTAGTTATATTATACATAGGCTTGAAAGGATTAGATTTGTATCAGTAAATGTTGATAAATGTTGTTTTCACCATATACACACAAACCAAAAATATTTCCATAGAGAATTGAAATTTACAGGTAGGCAAAGTAAGAAAAATGATGCTTGAGAACCTATTAGATTTTGATTTCAAGCCATGTATTTTGTATATTTTGACATATGATTTGGACAATTTGTGTTTTATTGGTTATAAAGTTTTAACTTTTTGAATCTCAGCGTCTGCTGTCATTAAATAATTATTGTCTGACTCCCTACCCATTGACTGAACCCTCATCATTTCCCTCAACTGTGAAAATTTAAATAGATGAAAATAGAAAAATAGAAAAAAATAGAAAAAAATGCTTAAAACCCATAATATTGCACAGCTGTGAAAATTTAAATAGATAAAAATACAAACATGCCTGATATTATAAATTATATAATCCTAAAAATTGAATTCTGCCAAGCCTGATTATTCATATAGTCATTTCAGACAGAGTGAAGGATGTTTACCATTTGAATGCTTGCACATGTCCCTTCTATTTAAGGTGTCTGCAAGCCAGTGTGCCAAAGCCAGAGATCTGTGCTTGGCCATGCTGCTAGCCGAGGGCATAAACAGGTGAATTGCCCTGAACACCCTCAGTTCCTTCTCACCACCTGCAGTCGGTAGTTGGAGCATGTGTCCTTGTTGTACTCTTTCCCGTTTTGCCTTTAGATAAAATGTTTCTAGATTTTATTGTTGTAATTAGTTATAGTTAGCGGTACTCATTTTAGGAACATTTTTGTTTCATTTTGTTTGAGCTTTAAGCTTGAACAGGGGCATGCCTAAGATCATGGGTTTTAAGCTCTGTTCTGAATGTAACAAATCCGTGCCTGTCAGTGATCCTTACTCCCGCTGCTTTAAGTGTCTGGAGAAGGACATGTGAGACATAAGTGCCCTATCTGTAGGAGGGGGTTAAGACTAGGGGTAAGAACTGGAGGGACGTTTGATTAACACATCCTAATGATGGCAGCTTGGTGCCCATCCTTGGCACCTAGCTGTTGGTACACAGAGGTTCACACTGTACTCCATCTCTGAGCGTACCGCCAGGTTTGGTGACATCTCTGTGTTGTTGAGAAGATACGATTCTCTGTCTCCATTACCGCACAAGCAGCAGCAGCAGAAGTCGAACGCTTCAACCTCTTCTAACAAGAAGAGGCCCTCTTCTCTGAGTGCTAAGTCCCTGACAGAATCAGACAAGAAGATGGATACCAAGTTTAGAACTAAGTCAGCTCCAGATAGGTGCTCCCTGGTGCTTCTTAGCTATAATCATCTGGCATTCTAACCAAAGTGCGACATAATAGACAAAGGAGGATTTGTCCTTTTGAAGGCCCAAATTTATTTTCAAAGACAGGTGAGGTTCTGCATTCTCTTAAAGATTCTACAGCAGTCTTAAAGTCTTCGGGCATATACACTCTAGTCCAGCTTATCTTGCAGGATAGAATAGATAGCTCTGCTGGACCTATCTAGACCATATGACTCTATCACCTTCTCCTCTGCCATTTGCTACCTACAAACAGTCTGTAGCACTGAAACAGTCTATTTGATTCCTTAGTTGAGGCCAGCATACCACTCACTCTGATTTTCCCTTCCCTTTGGGAGTAGGTTGTTCCACTTCATAAGTGCTTGGACTCACATTACAACAGACTGGTGGGTTCTAAGCATGGTGGAACTGGCATGTATCCTGCAATTTACCTCTGTTCTCACTTCCCACCCACCATCCACATCCTTTTTCCGGGATGATTCTCAAGAGAGTGTTCCAATTCAAAAAATTCAGTCTCTGATACAGTTAGTGGCCACAGAGGAAGCACCTCCTCAACATCAGGGAAAGGGATTCTATTCCAGTTTATTTTCTCATTCCAAAGTCCAAGGGAAGCCACAGACCTAATTTAAACCTGCAAACCCCCAACAAATACATAAAAAAGATAGTTTTGTGTGGTTATCCTAGAATCTATTATCCCATTCTTAGACCGCAGTGACTGGTTCTCTGCCCTCTGCTTTAAAGGGTGCCTATTTCTGTGTGACTATTCACCAGAGTCGCAGGAGGTTTTTGTTATAGCAGATGTTCATTAGCAGTTTATGGTCCTCCCCTTCAGCCTGTCGTCAGCACCTCGAGTCTTCACAAAGTGCATGGCAGTGATTGTAGTGCATCTCAGGGCTGTTGATCAACAAGGACAAATCACTTCTTCCTGTGGAGAGAGCTGATTTCATAGGAGCGGTTCTCGACTATCACAGCGAGAGTATATTTCACTGAGGCCAGGTTTCAGGTGATAGTCAACCTGTACAGGGACTTAAAGGGTTGTCCCCATACAACAGCAAGGAATTACCTGAGACTTCTAGGCAACATGGCAGCTTGTACATATGTGCTTCAACATGCAAGATCTCACCTCAAAGTTATGCAGAGGTGGTTGAAGTTGTTCTACCACTACCCTCATGATCCAGCGGAGATGTTGACTCTCCATACCAGGAAGTGTTTTGTCGTCACTGGATTGATGGCTAGACCGTGCCAGTGTAATCAAAGGGGTTCCCTTTGCCCCATCTGTGCCCTCCATGACATCACAGATGCTTCATCTCCCATATTGGGA